AGGAAGGAAGGAAGGAAGGAAAAGAAGGAGGCAGGGAGAAGAAAAAAGAAATCATATTGAAAGCTGTTAACAAAAGGAGTGGGAATGGGGAAAGAGCAATATAAGAAGTTTTATGATTGAAATGTAATATATAGACATGTAAGACACCATGGTAAAACCCCTTGGTATGATTAATATACACTAAAAAATGAGTGAGAGAGGAATAAAATAGGTTCTGTTGGGGAAGGACAATGGAGAAGGTGAATGAAGGTGAAGATGGTCTACATACTTATATGTATATATGAAAATACAACAATGAAACCACTTGAAATTATTTGAGAAGGGTAGGATAATAATGAAGAGTGATGGAGGGGTTGAGGATGATAGGATACATTGTACATGTGCGTGGAAATGTCAAGATGGAAGAGGTGACATTGTCCATAAAGAAATGTACTCTTTACCTGACTTTGTAATCACCTTTGTAATAGCAATAAAACTGTTAAATAAAAAGATGTTTAAAATCTGATGTTTCATCCAAATAGCACCCACATTCTCACAGCCAGAGACAAGAATAAGACCTCAGTCCAAGCCTTTCTAACATCCTTACATCTGTCATTCCTAATATAGGGAACACATTCTTTAAATCAAGTGGTTCTCAACATTTAACATTTCCTAGACCAATTTTCTTAAAAAGGGAACAAGCTTAATATTGCCAATTTTCGTTCTAATAACGAAACACATTTAAAACATAAAAACTTGCAGAGAACTCGTTCCTTGGTAATCCTAGTTACTCAAGGGGTTACAATCCAAAGATCACAGTTTTAAAGCTAGCCAGGGCAGGAAAGTCCATGAAACTCTTATCTCCCATTAACCACCAGAAAGCTGGAAGTAGATCTGTGGCTCCAGTGGTAGAGTACCAGCGTTGAGCAAAAAATTACAAGGACAGTGTCCTGGCCCTGAATTCAAGCCCTAAGACCAGGACACACACACACACAACTCAGCATAATCTATTCTTATATTATAGAAGAAAGGGACATTTTCACACACATACACACACACACACACACACACACACACACACACACACAAAAGCCCCACAGAGTTCCTAATGAAGCATGCGTCAGCTAAAAAAGAATACTTGGACACTTTTACATGATATATAGTTTTCTTTATGGACAAAAACCAAGCAGAATTTGAAAATTCTTGTTTGGAAATGCAAACAAGTGCTGGGAAAGGGATGTAAGCAAGTGAAACAACTTTCTTTAAGACAAAAAGAATACTGGAGATGTGGCTAATTGAAAGATATGAACCAATCCAAAGCATTGCAAAAATGATCAAACCAAAGGACAGACAGCTCCAGATCTGCAGCCCCAAGTAGCTAGTTCTCAGTTTCAAACTGATGGAAGAACCATTAACATGGATATCATGGTAATTCCTGGGCATCTTATCTCCCCCCATGCAACTCCACAACACCATACACACAGAATCTTCATACATACAGAATGTTCACCATGGAGTCTGGAAATGCGTACAAAGAAACCTTGACAATGAATTGACATAAAATTTTTTCTCCATTCCAGTAGAATGAGATTAAGTTTCACAAAATGCTTTGAGTTCCAGGAAATAAGGAAAATGATATTTTTATATGCTTCATTGTATATACCGGCATTTACACTACCCAAATGATTAAGTATGCACCTAGCAAAACCCTAACCAGAACCAATCCCTTTGACCACCACTTCAGTTGAAAGCTCCCTGAATATTTAGAAGAGGTCACATCCTGAACTAGACAAGAGTGTGTCCTTTTGCCAGTGATGGTCCCCATTGGTGAAGAGTTCAAAACATGGCACCAGTGGCTCACACTTGTAATCCTAGCTACTCAGGAGGCAGCATCTGAGAATCAATGTTCAAAAAAATCTTTTATCTCCAAATAACCAGTAAAGAACTTGAGCTGTGGTTCAGGTGATAGAGTGGTAGCCTTGAGTGAAGAAGCTAAGTTCAAGCCTCAGTACTGGCAGAAAGAAAGAAAGAAAGAAAGAAAGAAAGAAAGAAAGAAAGAAAGAAAGAAAGAAAGAAAGAAAGAAAGAAAGAAAGAAAGAAAGAAAGAAGGAGGAAG